AAAATGCAGGACTCTAGAATGTCTTATAAATTAAAAAATGTTTTATCTTCTAATTCACTCATTACAGCTTTTTACAATAAAATTGTTTTGATATTTTTAAAATTTTTTTGATTATGCCATTACATTTGTTCTATTCCCCCCCCATTCCCCTCCACCCTGCACACTCCTCCCCCACCATTCCCCCCTTTTAGTTCATGAACACGTGTCTCAAGTTCTTTAGGTTCTGTATTTCCCCTACTATTCTTACCCTCCCCCTATCTATTTTCTATCTACTGTCTATGCTACTTATTTTCTGTACCTTCTCCCCCCTTCTCCTCCTCTCACTCCCCTGTTGCTAACCCTCCATGTGATCTTCATTTCTATGGTTCACTGCTGATCTAGCTGTCCTCTTAATTTGCTTTTATTTTAGGTGTGGTTGTTTATAACTGTGAGTTTGCTGTCCTTTCACTGTTCATCTTTTTTATCTTTTTCTTAAGATAAGTCCCTTTAACATTTCATATAATAAGGGCTTGGTGATGATGAACTCCTTGAATTTGGTCTTATCTAAGAAGCACTTTATCTGTCCTTCCATTCTAAATGAAAGCTTTGCTGGATAGAGCAATCTTGGATGTAGGTCTTTGGATTTCATGACTTGGAATACTTCTTTCCAGCCCCTTCTTGCCTGTAAGGTCTCTTTTGAGAAATCAGCTGACAGTCTGATGGGAACTCCTTTGTAGGTGACTGTCCCCTTATCTCTTGTTGTTTCTGGGATTCTCTCCTTCATTTTAATCTTGGCTAATGTAATGATGATGTGCCTTGGTGTGTTCCTTCTTGGGTCCAACTTCTTTGGGACTCTCTGAGCTTCCTGGATTTCCTGGAAGTCTATTTCCTTTGCCAGAACAGGGAAGTTCTCTTATTATTTGTTCAAATAAGGTTTCCACTCGTGACTGTTCCTCTTCTTCTTCTGATACCCCTATAATTCAGATGTTGGAACATTTAAAGATGTCCTGGAGGTTCCTAAGCCTCTCCTCATTTTTTTGAATTCTTGTTTCTTCATCCTTTTCTGTTTGGTCATTTGTTCCTTCCTTCTGGTCCACTCCCTTGATTTGAGTCCCAATTTCCTTTCCATTACTATTGGTTTCCTGTGCATTACCATTCATTTCAATTAGTTTAGCCTTCATATGTTCCTCTAATTTGTGACTAAAATCAACCAGTTCTGTGAGCATCCTGATCACTAGTGTTTTGAACTGTGCATCTGAAAGTTTGGCTATTTCTTGGTTGCTTAGATTTATTGGCTCTGGGGCTCTGAGTTGTTCTTGAGCCATGTTTTTATCTGTTTGTGCCTGTTACGTATGAGGAGCAGAGTGTAGTTATTTACCAGGGCGGGACCACCCAGGTCGCTGGTTTGTGAGGCTGTTTGTGGGGGCGGGGTCAGAGAGGGAGCAATGGTGGTCCTTTCTGCTTGGCCAATTCGCCAAGCCTGTTTATCTGAGCGGAAGTGTGTGAGCCCGCCGCCCTGTGCTGCAGTCTCAATGCTCACCTCTTCACTGGTTTATCTGCACGAAAATGCTCCACAGACCGCAGACAGCCAGCTGTGCCTCTTCCCTGTGTCCGCCCGTAGCTATCCGGCAACTGGGATCCATGCCCTCGGCTTCCTGGTCAGGGATCTTTTTGGCCAACCTGCTCCGCTCCGCTGCTGGCTTCTCCCCTTACCGGTTTAGCTGAGCATTTCATTGTTTTCGGACTCCATATTGTTGATTTTCTGTGTTGTTTGGTTGCGTTTATTATTGTTAAAACTTTGTTGCTTTTAGATTTTGGTTGTGCGAGGATGCAAGGTGTTTCCACCTACGCCTCCATCTTGGCGGAAGTCCCTTGCTTTGATATTTTTATATTTAAAATAGATTGATGTGAGAACTCAGAAGTCCTCCTCATTTCAAAATCACATGAAATGCTCTGCTGGAAAAAAATTTCCAGTGCTACTTAGTGTCTTATCAGGGGCAGCAGTAATTAAATAAAGTGAGGTACAGCCCTAGCCGATGTAGCTCAGTGGATTGAGCACAGGCTTCTGAACCAAGCAAGCCTGCCCTTTGCAGTAGAAACCTCTCGCACTAGAACCAGAATCGCCAGTTCTATTCCTAGTCAGGACATATGCCTGGGTTGCGGACCAGGTCCCCAGCTGGGGGCGCATGAGAGGCAACCACACACTGGTATTCCTCTCCCTTTCTCTCTCCCTTCCACTCTCTCTCAAATTAAATAAATAATCTTTAAAAAAAAAGTGAGGTACATGTCATAATGGGTATTTAACTGAGCAAATAGCAACTTTAGCAATAATGAAAGTTCATTTGTGAGATGTGTGATGCTACAAGGCAGCTTGTTTACTTAAAAAGTTTTAAATAATCCTCTATACATTTCACAAAAAGAAACACAATAGCATAGTTGGGATTCAAATTTAGAATAAATTTACCTGGAGGAATAGTTTGGTATATTTTATGACACTTTATGATCAGGAAAATATAAATGTAGGGTTGCCATATTTAGAAACAAAAGACAAAACAAAACTAGATGTCTCAGTTTAATTTAAATCTCAGATAATGAAATAATTATTTGGCATTTAAGTATGTCCCATTATTACTATATAGGACATGACAGCTTGTCTCTTCTAAGCCTGTGGATTTTTTTCCTTAAATATAAAATACCTAATTTTACATTTCTTTTTGCTGGATAGGTCTGTTGGAATGTCCTGCATTAATCTTTTGTTGCACTGAACACCAAAGTTAGATTTTACATTGGTCTAATGGCAAATTCCCTTTTCACTGTGTCTGGTGAGTCCAAGGAGTAGCTCTTGTAATGCTTCCTGATGTCAGAAAAAGGGTTCCTGCTCACTTCCCTCAGTTTAGTCAAATAAAGTAGATAAAGTATAGACTATTAATGAAAATGTTAACATTACCTTGGATTTAAGAGTACTTTCCCTTTGAAGATGTAATTAATACTTCATCTTCACTTAAGATGGGTTGAGAAAAGAAATATTAGTCTTTAAACAAGAGTTAACCTCAGGCCTCTTTGGTCATGTAAGTTTGAGTACAAGGAAGATTTATGGGGCTCTTATTTTTCCTTAGTATTTCAGACAATAAAATCAAAGGCACATTCTAAGTGTAAGAATTTACAGTCTTCCAGTGTACAGGACTAGGTAGTTACGATCTTTATTTTGATTAACTGTGATCTTGGAGTTTGTCTTTGCAAAGAATGCCTTCTGGAATTCATGGTAGGCATTCATTACTTCTAAAAAAATTTCAGCAATTCCTCTGGGTTTTTCCATGATAAAAGTACACCCTCCTCTGACTCCCCACCAACATACACAGGGTAATTTTATTCTTCTGGGTTTTCTTTCCCTATAAAATATAATGTACCTGGCAAATCATTCAATTTTTGTTGCCTATGGCAGGCATTCCCTAATTCACCTAAGTAAAACCTTAAAGGGGATTCATGTTTTACTTGAGTGCTTAGATTTTTCAGAGCTTTATGGTACTTAATCTCTAGTATACCACTGAATAGCTCTTATAAGAACTAAAAAGGAACTTCTGTGTAACACTCATACTGACAGTTAAGTGTGCAGAGGTAAAGAGTATCCCTCTTCAGGGCTTTGTAATTTATGTTTGTTACAGTGATTCCTCACCTATCTCAAGAGTTACATTCCAGAGACCTCTGCGATAGGTGGATAGGTGAAAATCCACTAAGTAGTAGCATTATATTCATTTTATTATTTATATATATTTTAAGACTTTTAAATCCCACACTCCTATAAACCTTTCCCACACTCTTATAAACACTTCATATGCTCTTAAACACTTTCTACACTCTTAAACCTATGTAATTTTAACAACATATAAAATTCTATATGGGTACTCACCAGTGAAGTATATGTATTTATGTACTTGCCTACTAATAAAAGTACAATTATCTAGTTTTCAGCACAAATGAAACACTTGCTGTCCTTTGCACTAGAAACCTCTTATTTCAATCTCAAGTGAGCAGTATTTCCTAACCTAAATTTATTTTTAAAAGTCATAGGCAATAAATAATAATGAACACCTGAGAAATCCTATCATTAACAGTAATAGACACTACAGGAAAACTCAGAAAAAATATTAAAGTTTTAAAAAATCTGTATCTAACAGTATCACATTCTTTGAGCTATCTGGAAATTGTGAACTATGTTTTTATTCTTTATTTACCAAGAAAAAAGTCCCAATGATAGGTATGTAAATAGCAATATAAAACCAGGATTACTCGTAATGGTTAGAAATTCTTCTGTATATAGTTCTGTATTCTTCTGTAGTATTAGTTCAATACAATGAATATTTATTGAATAATGAAAGTATAAGGCACTGAATAACTAATAAGTGCTTTATGGATACAAATATGAATGTAATTTAAGTGGCATAAACCAAATATGCCAATAACTTACTGAGAAGGCAAAGTATGATTAACAACAAAAAGCAAGATATTAATGTGGGTTCCTAGGAAAGATACTTGGTTGGGGTAATTCAAAGGAAGCAATAAAGAGGGAAAGAGAATGAGTAGATTTTGGTAACAGGCAAACACTAATGAAGAAAGTTTCAGGAAGAAGAGACTAAAATAGACTCTGGATAGTTCTAAAACTTTGTGTACTCCATGTTACCTGAGTAACATGTTACTCTGTAATGTTCAGAGTATGGGAGAAATAAGGCTAAAATGACAGGGCCTATTGCAGACAGCCTTGAACTAAGGACTATAACTTTAATAGTTACTCTTAGAAATCTCCTAAGTTTTAGAGCTGGAGGTGTCAATTCGTTTACTTAGGCAAGGAGACAATAAAATAGAAAAATCAGTTAGGCTTCTGCAATTATACGGATTCTCACTGAGGGTATAAATTGGTGACTAAATTTACTATAGTAAAATAAATGTTGTTTTCCTTTTTTAAAGATGACACTCTTCTGCAAAATTACTTTCTCACTTGTACACAAATAAGACAAAAGTTCCACTGTAACAAAATTCAAATGTTTAATTTTTTTCAAACTTAACTTCAAAATCTGGGCATCATCTTTACGGAACTATGCTTTCAAAATACATTTTGTAAAAGACATTAATTTCACATTTAAAACATGTTTTAAAAATGGGGTAACATTAAAAGACATTAAATTAGTTGAAAATATACCTCAAAATGCTGAGTTATGCCATGCGCTATCAAATTAACTGTAGTCATATTCAAAGTAATATGTCTCTGGATTAAAGACAATTATTTCTTGTCCATTTCAGTGATTTCCTGGATCCAAAACAAAATTTGTGTATTTATCTCTTTGAAAATGTCATTTGTTGACCGTCCTTTCACTGCCATAGAATGATTTGCCTTCTCAATCCAGCAGATTTTATTAGGAGCTTGCATTTTCTGTGCAACTTTCTCCAGCAAGTTCTAAAGGAAAAAAAAAGGATAGATACTAATGCTGTATTTGTGTCTAATAAAAACTCACTCTCTCCTGCCCCATCTTTAATAGTATCCATTCACTCAATATTCATTAAATACCTAGTGCATAAACAATTTTTGAGGCAATGGAATGTGCAAGGAAATGTCTACTAAAGTGGCAGGCAGTCCCCATCTCTCAGAAACTGCATTACTACAGAACTGATCTAGAATTTATTATTGATAAAAAATCAGCAAGTTGGACACAATAATTCTAAAACTATTTTCCAAGGAAATTTTATGCTCTAAGAAACACACTCATCTTTACTAATATGTACAAGTTACTCATTTTTATTGAGTCAATTTTATTAAAAAATTAAAGAATCTGCTAGAATGTTGAAATGATAAATCAAATGTACAGTCTAGTTAATCCCCAAATCACAAGATGCATATTAATTCTTTATTTCCCAAGTAAAAGTTAATCTATTTGCCAACTCTCTTTCCAGGGAGATGAATTTTGTCATTATGCTTCTTCTAGGTTTTCCAAAGCAACAGAGCAACTAAGGCACAAAACTAGCCTTAATTAGTCAAATCAGTATCTCTTTAAAGAGACTGAATGCCATAGGTAATATATTGTTCACAAGGTATTTCTGTCTTTCTCTCTCATTCACACAAATATCAAGCTGTAATTTACCTTTTCACACATTTCATCTGCTGAGCCTGACACAAATAATACAGGTTCTTTTATACGAAACAGGTTTTCATCTCTAAGTTTATGCTGCTGCTTTGGATGGTGTAATGGATAAGAAATACAAATGAGACCACGGACAAAATCATCAGTGTCATCTGGTTCAATATGACACATTACAGAAGCAGCTGCTCTTGAGCCCATTGAACGACCTAAAATAAATCAAAATTAAGTTAAGTTTAACATATTAACATTCACACATAAAATAGAGGAGATATGTGGCAAATTAGAGTTGATTTACTGTTTATCATATTTCTACATCAACAAATTAATTCCAAGAGGTGGCAATTAAGAACTCACAATATCCAAAATGGACACCTATAGCCTGTGAAGAGCTAAAAACTAATCCTAAGTCAATTTTTTTTAGAAAAAGAAATTATTTTTCTGAATGATTGTAAGGACAATCCTCATGAAGGAATCATTTGAGAGAAGGTGAACCAGATATATAAATAAAAATAGAAATCTTTGAATTACAAAACATATGTATGAATTTTAAATTCGTTTTAAATATCTAAAGTACTTTGATGTTATACAAGGAAGTGATTTATCAAAGCCAAACAAAAATTTCTTATCTTAAATTAGCTTCCCATCATCTACTTTAATTCTCTATTATCTATTCCTATATTATCAGTAGTAGTGCATTTAAAAATAAGTATTCACAACTATTGCAACTTACCTCCAAGGAAAACACCTGCAAGTTTGTATTCTCCTGAGGTCTTGAGGTAACTCTAAAACAAAAAATCAACAAAAACTTATTAATTCTTCTCCTATAAAATATTCCACTAGAAAATCAACAAATATTTCTCATCATTACTGAACTGTAAGAAAATCTTTGCAAAGACAACCACAAAATCTTAAGAGATTCTCTCTGGAAAGAGTTAACTAGTTCTTTGCTTTTCTGGTGATGCATGCCTTCATTGTCAAATTGTATGCTGGGCAATACAAATATATAAGCAAAAAAACCCACATCACTGGTCTAAAAAGAAATCAAGTATTGAAATATCTTTGAAGACCAAATTATGTTTTTTAAAAAGGCCAGTAAAAGCTTCAAACTAATAAAAATATTATAATAATACTAACATCTAATTTAAAGCTCTGAAAAACTTAGAAAGCTAAAAGTAATTTGGTTTGAAAGAAATTTCAGTTTACTTTATCCAGGGACTTTATAGTTTCTAAATGACACATACAGAAAACCATGCTATAGTTATACGTTCATAGTATAGTAGGCAAAATATCCAGAACTATATTCTAAAGTTATATAATTCTAGTAAGAAAACTGAATCATAAATAGCTTCCTTGGCAGTATCATGGAGGACCATTTATGATGTGAGTACTCATCTCCATAGAAACTTCATGTACTGATGAGATTCTAAGAATAGTCATTAAAAGATATTTAAATTAAATCAAATGACTGCTAACAAAATTTATTAAGAATTTTAAAACAGAATTCTGTTGTAAGTAAATGTAAAGAAATTTTCTTACCAAGACTGATTTATATGCTTTAACTCTATGTACAATATTAAGGCCTTTACAGGTAAACCTCAGGCAAAAAAACCCATGAGATGCAAGATGGGATGACAGTGACATCAAATGAGGAAGATTCATATCTCCTGATGCTCCATGTGTAAGAATCACTCCATATGTTAAGCTCTTGCTAGGTACCAAACAAACAGCATCTAGTAATTTATTTCCAAAAGGTATTTTTAATTTAACCTAGAATTCAAAAGAATAAAGGGATTCAAAATTACTTCCTTGCCTATTCAGACAACTGAATAACTATATGTTTGTTCTGCAAAACCCATGACTCAATAAACAGCCTCCAAATAAAAAGCAATATTAACAATAGCTAATAGTTAAGAAGTACTTATTGTGTGTCGAGTACTATTATGAGTTTTTATATGTATAACTCATTTAACCTTCCTAATAATACTATGAGGCAAATACTATTATTGTTTCCATTTTACAGATGAGGAAACTGAGGCACAGTAGATTAAGTAACATGCCCAAGATTACACAGTCACTAAGTGAATTCAAACTTAGGCAGCCTGCTCTGAAGTCCTTATTATTAAGCACTAATGCTACTGTGTCTCTTATAGTACAAGCTAAAAATGAGAAAATCACTCTGGAGCAGTATGACTAAAAAAAAAAAAAAAAAAAACCGGAGCCCTGAAGGTGAAGAACATATGAAAATATGCATTACCTCTGTATGACTCATTTTCACTGCTGAATAACAAACTTAAAGTGCATTACATCTGAGAAGCAAAGGACATCTCCCTGAAAAGAAGATTCTGTTGTGAAAGTTGGATTGGCAGACATGGATATGATACAAGAACTATGAATGAACACATTCAATAAACACATTTAGAAGTACTTCCTTAGAACTGATATCTTTACATATGCATTTAGTTATTTTCAAGGTTCCAGGGCCCAATGTGTGGCCAACAGATGTCATATAATAAAAAGCCAGTGTGATACCTTAAACAAGGTAAACAAGGAAGGCTTGTTTACCTTGTTTCCTTAAACAAGGAAGCGTTATCAAAAAAAATTCGTATCAAAATAGTATGCTGTATGTTGACATTTACATATTCTAAGCATCTTCATTCTCAACTATCTTTAACTTAATTTCACAGCATCTATTAACCTATTTCCTTCCTAATTACCTTTCTCAATTCTTCTTTTCACTATGCAATAATACCTTGAATAATTGGATAGTGCTGCCAGTTTCTGTGCATTTTGAAGAATCTGGTTTATATAGAATTGTTCCACAGTATTCCCTGCTGCTGGTTTAGAATTACGCTAAAATCTGCTAAGACATTTACTTTCTAGTATCTAGTATTTTATTGTTTTCGTTTCCTTTCTCATTTTCTCCATCCTTGTGGGTTTGTCTTTTAAAAATTTCCCTTTACTATAACTCTAGGGAGATTTCAGGAGGGAGTAAAATTGGACACATGTATTCAACCCCCAATCTTAACCCAGAATGCTCTACGATTCTTCAACCACTTGGGCTTTTGTTTGCTTTCAGGAAAACTACTCTTTTCCAGTAGACAACTGTTCCTGACAACCGGTGTACGCTCTGCTCTACTTAGGAAACAATGGAATTGTTCCAGGATATAATCTCACCGCAACCTTGTCTAGCCAATCTCGGTTATAATCTCTGATTTTGGATTCCCATAGGGGAGGGCTTGAAACCTGGCTCAGCTGCAAGTGGAGAAAACTACCAACCTCATAGAGATGCTGCGATAATTAGCTAATAATCTGTACTGTATGTAGTAGTGTCCCCACAATACAATAATGAAGTGCATCTTATGTTGAAGGATCAAAAATGCCACAACCACCGTCACTTCCGATTGGAAAAACGTGCATTATCTATTAAGTGGACAGCAATACGTTGTAAATCCTGGAGGAAAAAAAGTCAGAGGTTCAAGTCTTGGGGGAGGCGGGCGGGGGCGTCTATAATCAGGCCAGGTCTGCAACTAACACCAAGCCATACAAGAGTAGATACTCGAAGGGGGTCTTTGGAATTTGGGGGTCAGAGGCATCTGAAAAACAGCTTATCACTCTACTAACGCTAGTGCACAAGGGCTGTGTGGTTCGTTCCAAGGAGCTGGCGGGCAACTCCTAAAAGCTCAGAGGCTTGCCTCAAGCTAGCTACCAGGGATCGGCTCCTGTGACCCTTGCTGGACCTTTCGGCTCTGCCCACCCGCAACTTCACCTTACTCCGGCCTCCTAATCCTCCAGGCAAATGTAGCCCCACAGACCGGTGTCCGCAGCAAGGAACTTAAACTGAATGCCTTGCGGACAGACAACTGCTCCTGGTGAGGGGACAGCTGCAGTCGAAAACATTTAGGACTCCGCCAACAGGCACGCTAGCAGTCTCTTGAAAGTCTGCCCACCGCTTACTAAGGCCGCCGCAGCACTTACCCGAGAAGGGGAAGTGGCGGGTAGCACCTACCCGCCTTTAACCCGTTCAGGCAGCAAACTTCTCTCAAAAGAAGCCTCTAGCCACAGCCGCCGAGCGGCCAGAGTGTTCCGTTCTAGCGCATGCGCGGGCTGGTGGTGCGCGCGGGGATCGCTGGGGCTGGACTTTACCAGCCGCTGCCTGCTGGGCGGGGCCAACTCTTTCCTAGGAGGGGCCTTTCTGTGCAGCTCTCAGTAGTCCAGGGCGTGATTGTCAGGAGTTTGACACCCGGCCCTATGATGCCTGTATAGCTGTCAATCTCCTTCTTAAAGTCCTCTAAGGTTTTCCTTACATATTTGTGTGCTCCTATGTCAGGCACATATATCTTATAAGGGTTATATCCTCTTTTTGGACAACTTTCTAAGTACTCTGTAGGAACTTTCTCTGTTTTTATGGCTTTTGTTTTGAACTCTTTTGTCTGAATATTGCTACCCTAGCTCTTTTTCATGACCACTTGCTTGGAATATTTTTCTACATCCCTTTATTTTCAGTCTGCGTAGATCTTTTATTTGAAGTGGCTCTCTTGAAGATAGCATATATGCAAGTCATGCTTTCTTATCTATTCAGCTATCCTATGTCTTTTTTAAAGTTTAATCTTTACTATATTTTTCCATTACCATTTAGTTTTCTTATACCCCTTTCCCCAGCAGTGACCATACTGTTGTCCATTTCCATGACTCCTTTTTTCTTTTTGCTCAATCCCTTCACGTGACTGCTCTCCATCTAAGAGTGTTTTCATTTACCCTGTTAGTTCAGTTTGTACATTGTATTCCACACGAGTGAAATCATGGTATTTGTCTTTCACTGGTTATTTCACTTAGCGTAATATTCTCTAGGTCCATCCATACTATCAAGGTAAAATTTTCTTCTTTTCTGTGGTCAAGTAATATTCCATTGTGTAAATGTCTCATAGTTTTATCCACTCATCTACTGATGGACCCTTTTATGGTGCCCATATCTTAATGATTATAAATAATGCTGCAATGAATGTAGGGGTGTGTATGTTCTTTCAAAATAGTGTTTTGGCATCAGCAGGAAAGTCTCAGACATTCCACGCAGCAACATCTTCATTGATATGTCCCCTAAAGCAAGGGACATAAAGAAAAAAATAAATGGGACCTCATCAAATTAAAAAGCTTCTGCATGGCTAAAGAAAATATTAAAATGAAAAAAGAACTATATGGGAAAACATGTTTGCCAATGATACCTCAGAAAAGGGTTTGATCTCCAAAGTGTATAAAGAAGTCACACAACTCCACTCCAGGAAGACAAGCAACACAATTAAAAAATGGACAAAGCAGTTGAGCAGACATTTCTCCAAGGAGGACATACAGAGGGCCCATAAACATGTGAAAAGATGCTCAGCATCACTAGCCATCAGAAAGATGCAAATTAAAACCACAATGAGATACCAACTCCCACTGGGCAGAATGGCCATTGCAAACAAATCAAAAAACAAGTTTTGGAGAGGATGCGGAGAAAAGGGAACCCTAGTGTACTGTTGGTGGGATTGCAGACTTATGCAGCCACTGTAGAAAACAGTATGGAATTTCCTCAGAAAACTAAAAATGGAACTGCCTTTCGACCCAACAATTCCACTGCTGGGATTATATCCTAAGAGCCCTGAAACATCAATCCAAAAGAACCTATTCACTCTAGTGTTCATAGCAGCACAATTTACAGCAGCCAGGTGCTGGAAGCAACCCAAGTGCTCATCAGTAAATGAATGGATCAAAAAACTATGGTACATTTACATAGCAGAGAGGAAGAAGGAGCTCCTGCCCTTTTTGACAGCATGGATGGAACTGGAGAACATTATGCTAAGTGAAATGAGCCAGGCTGTGAGGGACAAATACCATATGATCTCACCTTTAACTGGAACCTAATCAACAAAACAAACAAGCAAACAAAATATAACCAGAGACATTGAAATTAAGAACAATCTAACAATAGCCAGAGAGGAGGGGGGATGGGACAGTGGGGAGAAGGGTTTTCAGGAACAAGTATAAAGGATGCATGGACAAAACCAAGGTGGAAGGTGGAAGCAAGGGAGGGAAGTGGGTTTGGCTGGGATGTGGGTGACTGGTGGGGAGAAAATGCAAACAACCATAACTGAACAACAATAAAGTAATTTTAAAAAATAGTGGTTTTGATTCTTTGGGATGTATTCCAGAATTTATATAGCTGAGTTGAAAGGCAGGTCCATTTTAAAATTCATTTATTTATTTATTTTTAGAGAGAGGGGGAGGGAGGGAGAAAGAGAGGGAGAGAAACATCAATGTGTGGTTGCTTCTCACGTGGTCCCGACTGGGGGACCTGGCCCACAACCCAGGCATGTGCCCTGACTGGTAATTGAACTGGTGACCCTTTGATTCACAGCCTGCGCTCAATCTACTGAGCTAAACCAGCCAGGGCCAAATCCACTTTTTAATTTTTTGATGTATCTTCATATGGCTTTCCACAGAGGCTGCACCAATCTGCATTCCCAACATTGTACTAGGGTTTCCTTTAATTCCACAACCTTGCCAGCATTTGTTGTTTGTTGATTTATTGATGATAGTCATTCTGAGAGGTGTGAAATCTCTTATTGTAGTTTTAATTTGCATTTCTCTGATTATTAGTGATGTTGAGCATCTTTCCATGTGTTTATTGACCATCTGTAATATGTGACCCTCCTCTTTGGAGAAGTGCCTCTTCAGGTCCTTTGCACATTTTTAATTGGGTGATTTGTTTATTTGGTGTTGAGTTTTGTAAGTACTTTATAAATTTTAGATATTAACCCTTCATCAAATGTGTTGGTGAATATATTCTTTCATTCTGTTAGTTGTATTTTTGTTGATGATTTCCTTTGCTGTGCAAAAAATTTTTAGTTGATGTAGTCTCTTTTATTTATTTTTAATTTTTCCTTTTCTCTGTTGTCTGAAGAGATATTTCTGATAAAATATTGCTTTTAGCACTGTCCAAGGTTTTTCTGCCTATGTTTTCTAGGATTTTTATGGCTTTAGATCGAACATCTAAGTTTTTACCAATTTTGATTTTATTTTTGTGTGTGGTATAAGAAGATGATCTAATTTCATTTTCATGCATATATTGGTCCAGTTTTCCCAAATCATTTATTGAACAATCTTTAGCCTATTGAATGTGCTTGCTGAGAGAGCAAGCATGTTTGGGTTTATTTCTGGGCTCTCTCTTTTTTTCCATTGATTTATATGTTTGTTATGTCAGTACCATATGAGTTTGATTACTGTATCCTTATAATATAGTTTGATATTAGGAAGCATGATTCCTTCAACTTTGTTCATCTTTCTCAGGATTGCTGTTGCTATGCATGGCCTTTTGTGGTTCCATATAAATTTTTAAAATATTTTTTGTTGTTCTGTGAAGTACTTTATTGGAAACTTGATATGAATTGCATTGAATCTATAGATTTCTTTGGGTAGAATGGCTATTTTAATGATGTTAATTCTTCCTATCTATGACTAAGACCTTGTTTCTACTTATTTGTATGTTCTTTAATTTCTTTCTTTGGTGTCTTACAATTTTTCAAGTATAGGTCTTTTACATCCTTGGTAACGTTTATTCCTAGGCATTTTGTTCTTTTTGAAGCAATTGTGAATGGGATTTTTTTTTAAATTTCCCTAACTATTAGTTCTATATTGGCATATAAAAATTAAATTATACTTTGGCTGGTGTGGCTTAGTGGATTGAGTGTCAGACTACAAACCAATGGACTGCTGGTTCGATTCCCAGTCAGGGAACATGCCTGGATTATGGGACAGGTCCTCATTGGGGGCCACACGAGTGGCAACCACACATTAGTGTTTCTCTTCCTCTCTTTCTCCCATCCTTCCCCTCTCTAAAAATAAATAAATAAATATTAAAAAAATAAAAATGCAACTATATCTGGCTATTTTTTTATCCTGCTACTTTACTGAATTCATTTCCAATCCTAGTAGTCTCTTGGTGGAATCTTCAGGGTTTTCTATGTCCCGTATCATGTCATCTGCAAATAATAACAGTTTTACTACTTTCTTTCTAATTAGATCCCTTTTTTTCTTCATCTTGCCTGATGGCTGTGGCTAGGACTTCTAGTACTATGTTGAATAAGATAGGTGAAAGCAGACATCCCTGTTTTGTTCCTGATCTTAAGGGGAACTCTTGTACTTTTTGTCCACTGAGTATGATGCTGGCAGTGCATTTGTCATACATGGGCTTTATTATGTTTAGGTATGTTCCCTCTTTTCCCACTTCGATGAGAATTTAAAACATATACTGGTGCTAAATTTTATCAAATGCTTTTTCTGCATCTATTAATATGATCATGTGGTTTTTATCCTTCATTTTGTTTATGTGGTGAATCACATTTATTGATTTGTGAATGTTGTTCCAAACTTGCTTTCCCAGAATAAATCTTACTTGATATTGGTGTACAGTCTTGCTGTATTCAGTTTGCTAATACTATGTTGAAGATTTTAGCAGTTCACCAGGGATATTGATCTATAATCTTTTTCCTTTGTAGTGTGTCTTTACCTGTTTTTGGGAATTAGAATAATGCTGGCCTCATAATATGAGTTTGGGAGCCTTCACTCCTCTGGAATGTTATGAAATAGTTTGAGAAGGAGAGGTATTAGTTCTAATGTTTGGTAAAATTCTCCTGTGAAGCCATCTGGTCCAGGGCTTTTGTTTGTTGGTAGTGTTTTGATTATTGCTTCAGTTCAATACATGTAACCTGTGTATTTATATTCTCTGCTTCCTCCTGATTTAGTTTTGGAATATTGCATGTTTCTAGAAATTTATTTATTTCATCTAGGTTGTCTAGTTTGTTGGCATATAGTTTTCATACTCTTCTCTTACAATGCTTTGTATTTCTTTTCTGTCAGTTGTTATTTTTCCTTTTTTATTTCTGATTTTATTCATTTGGGCCCTCTTTGTTTTTTCTTGATGAGAGTGGTTAAAAGTTTTAAGTCTTGTTTATCTTTTCAAAGAACCAGCTCTCAGATCCATTATTTGTTTTGTTTTTTAGTCTCTATTTCATTTATTTTTTTGCTCTTATCTTTATTATTCCCTTCCTTGTATTCT